TCTCATTCTCTCTCTCAAATAAATAAATAAAATCTTTAAAAAAAAAAACAAAAAACCCCAGCAGTTCAGAAGCTCTTTATCTACCCCACAGATAACTATATAATGACAGGGAGGAATTTAGCAAGACCTCTTTTATCAAATTCCTGTGTCCTCTTGTTTCTTAATGGCCCAAAGACCGTTTGTTTACCAAATATTTACTCTTTCATTTTCCTTTAAATTACATTATTTCCTATTGAATTCCTGGACTTTTCTCAGTATTTTCCCTATACTTTTCTCAGTTCAGTATGACATGTACACCTCATTTTGCCTGTTTTTGGAATTTTATGGGTGTACATATTCCCCATATGTACCAAATTAAATTTTATTTTCTCCTGTTAACATGTCTCATGTCAATTTGATTCTTAGTCAAGCCAGAAGGACCTTGAAGGGCAGAAGAAATTCTTCCTCCCCAACAGTGGATGGAGAACAAGCAAGGAACTCAGGGCCTAGTGCCTCCAGAGACCTTACTTCAGGGTCCCCCATCTCCCTACCAGCCTCAGGGAATGGCTCTGTCTAGGCAAGGCCACCAGTGCGGGAGGAGCCAGCGGCCTCAAAGTCATTCCAGGATTGAGAGATGAGGTTCATTTTATCTATAGGTCTTTTTGTGGCCCCTGATGGGCTGACCCCAGGCCAGCAGATGTTGATATGGTCAGGAAGGTGTAAGGAGAAGTGCTATCATGGTGATATGACAAGGACATTGGGCTAAGCCGAGAAGGAGGAGCAGCAAGTAACTGGGAAAAGAGTGTCCTTGGCAGAGTGCACCTGCAAAACCCTGATGCAAGTCCTGTGGGGTGGGGTGTGGAGCAGATCAGAGCCCTCTGGAAGATAAAGTCCAGTGTCCTAGGGGCCAAAAGAGCTGTAGGCAGGAGGATGCTTTTGCTGGTTTCAGGAAAGTGTTGTGTACTGTGTCAGGGGCTTTAAATGTTACTTGATCGTTGTGGAACTATAGTCTGTGGGCCAAGGGAAAGTGAGTGGCAAAGGCTTTGGAAGTATAGTCCTCAATGTCTCAAGAATCAAAAGTGGGGCGCCTGGGTGGCTCAGTTGGTTAAGCAACTGCCTTCAGCTCGGGTCGTGATCCTGGAGTCCCTGGATCGAGTCCCGCATCGGGCTCCCTGCTCGGCGGGGAGTCTGCTTCTCCCTCTGACCATCCCCCCTCTCATGTGCTCTCTCTCATCCTCTCTGTCTCAAATAAATAAATAAAAAATCTTAAAAAAAAAAAAAAAAAAAAAAGAATCAAAAGTGCTTCCACGGGAATTAGGATAAACGCAGATGGCACTGAACCTCTGGGAAGTGCAATCCACCCCATGTCAGGGGCTATAGGTGCTGCCCAGGCATCTTAAGAGCTGGAAACCTGGAAAAGGGGAATAGCACATGTTAATCCTCAGTGAAGTGGTCTGTGCTCTCCATGGCAGGAATCGCTGCCTGCCTGTTGTAGGCTGGGGCACACGTGGGTGTGAAGATTGAGATGTAGGCCTTGAGAGCTCAGATACCAGAAGTGACACCTGGGTAATTGTGGGAGCTGTTAGGTAGAGGCCAGTGATCACGAAAACTCTCTGGTGTGTAGCCCAAGCCGGCTCAGGGGAAAGGCTGCTAGTTTTCAAGCCCTCTGGAGTTCTGCAGCATAAGCCTGCAGGGGCCACCCTCCACTTGCCCCAGTGCCGACTCTGTATGTGGCTCTCACCAGATCAGTTAAAGTCCACCCATTCCCATCCAATCCTAGCTTCAGAATGCCATTGCCTGACACCTCCTACTCCATCCTCATACTTATGGATTTATGTTCTAAACATACTCTTCCCTGTTGTTTCAGTGGGTTTCTGAACGAAGTGAGATGTGTGTTTAGTCCATCTTGACCTAGAAAGCCAGGGAAACTTTTACACTCACAGCCTGCTCAGGGTTAAGAGCAGAGCGGTCAGCCTAGCAGGAAAGAGCCCAACATGACCACATAAGTTTGGAGGAGGGCAGTGCAAGGCCAAGACATGGGGAAAGGCAGGTGATCATAGTTGCTGTTTCCATGGAATCAAGGTGGGAGCCACTGACCAGTCCTGGGAGAGGAGGACTTAAGGAGGGTGGAGGAAGTTAAGGATAGCAGGAGCCAACCACACAGGTGGGAAGGAGACTGGTGGGGAGATGGGAGAGGGCATCAGTCTCAGCTCAAGGGGTCAGGAGGACTCAGGTTGGAAACTGGGCTCCAGGAGCTTCAGTACAAGATGCAGAAAAGGTTGAATATGACTTGTTGAGTACCCACTTGGTGTTTGACAGATGCCCTTGATCCTGAATCCCTGAATTTCCCAGAACAGGTCTCTATCACTTAGAGCGGGGGTTTGTCTGCATTTCACAGCTGTGGGGACTAAGGCTGTGACCTACTCAAGGCACCCTCATGGAGGGGAATCTGGGGGAAGGTGGGATGGGGATAAGGCCAGAGTGTGGACCAGAGCAGAGAGAGGGGAGTCCAGGAGGGGTGGACAGGGCTCAGGGGCCTGCAGGGTACCAGGAATTCTGGTTCAGTGGACCTATACTCCAAGGATCATGGGGAGCCAGCTCCAGCAAGACACCTCTCACTGCCCCATCTCCCCTCTTTGTAGGACTTGTGAGGTTCCAGACGTAGAAGATAGATCTGAACCTGCTAGCAGGTGCAGAGTGGGGGAGACATGTCTTTGCTCATTCTGTATGACAGATGGCTACCAGACCTTGGAGGTGATGGGACGAGAGCACCCCCTTGTCTCAGGCTCCCCAGCCTGGATCTACCAAGATTCATCTCACGGTAGAACTGAGACTTGGGGTGGCCTCACGATGTCTACAGTGCTGAAGTCTCCTAGCAGACTCCCACAAACCTCTGGCTGCCATGAAGACATAGGTGTCCCGGCCCCTCATTGGGGAACAGGCAAGAAGCAACTCTACCCTACTTTGAAGGACCTGCATTGAAGCCAAGGCTCCAAAGCTCTGTGATGATGACACTTAGAACTGTGCCGTTAAACCCTTCTGAACCATGACCTGGAGGCTGGAAGGGGAGGCTGAGGCTGTGGACTTCCCAGTGCTGTGCAAGGATTTACACAATGTGCATCCATTCCAACTTCTAATTTTTGCTCTTTCTTTTTTGTTCCCAAGTAAAGAGACCACTAACATCCCTGGGTGTGAGGACTGAGGTCAGGATGGGCCCTGGTCTGCTGAGGGCCACAGGGAGAACCAAGGAGCCCCATGCGGTCTCCTCCAAACCTGTTGTTATGATCACCTCTCGTCAGGGCAGGGGGGATATAAAGGCTCCTGCAGCGGTACCTTTGGTAACAACGGGACGTGGCCAATGCTGAGGCTTGGATGCGAAACCGAATGAAAGAGCACGGCTCAAGAGCCATCATTCTTGATGTCTGTCTCCCTCTCCCCACCCCAGGGACCTCCACCTCTACTTGGCCCACCCACTGTGGGACTGCCATGTGCGGGCGGCCAGGCCTGGCATCACCCAGCTCTCACACTGGCAGACCCGAGCACAGCTGCCAGAGCCTGGGGGCAGACTGGTGAGCTGTCTGGATGCTGGGCCTGTGGCCTGGATTCGAGTCCTGGCTCTGCTGTGTACAACTCACATCCCCTCTCTCTGCCTCCGTTTCCTCATCTGAGAAGTGGGGATAGCAGTCACAGCGGCTGCCTCACAGGGCTGGCAACTGGCACATGTTGGCCCTTAGCAAGATCCTGCCTGTCAGAATCCCTCTGTAGGCCTGAATCTCTCTCCCTCTCTCGTCTGTTCTTTTCCCCAGAGGTGGATGCTAAGACAGAGCCCAAGGTCAACACCAGACCCCCACATGACCTCCTACCCACTGGGTCCGCTCCCAGGAGGCCTTGGAGGAAGTGAGGTCTTGGAAGAATATCCTGAGGGTCGGCCTGGCGGCCAGTTTGTGCATGGACAGGGGAAACTTCTAGGACTGCCTCCCCCGCATTCCAGCAGTCCCCCTCCTCACCTGGGCACCCACAGTCATCATAGGCATGAAACGCCAGTCTATTGCCAAGTCTCTGCCTTGCCAAAGTCCCAGCATCCAAATGGGGAGAATATCCCCCTGCTATTTCTGCAGCCTGACCACTTAGGGTTGGAGTGAGCCGTGGCTGAAATGGCAAATATCGTCACCACGTGCACATGGAACCACAGTGCACACACCGGTCTTCTCCAAAACGTGGATATGCAGGGAACGCAGGTGTTTTACGACAAGCCAGGGAAGGTTGGAGCTGTGAACTCAGGCTTCAGCAGGCTTCGAAACTGTGGCTGGACCTGAGGCAGGAGTGGACCCCGCTTCCCTCCCCAGTGAGCCCTCTGATGACACCACCGAAGAAGGCCTGGCCTGGGGGGTCAGGCCTGCCCCACGCCGGGGTCTGCGCACAGGTTTCTCTCCCGTGTGGATCCTCTGGTGGTGGAAGAGGGCCGGGCGCTCGCGGAAGGCGCGGCCACAATGTGCGCACACAAAGGGCTTCTCACCGGTGTGGATGCGTCGGTGGCTGAGCAACACCGCGCCCTTGGCAAAAGCCTTCCCGCAGTCCCCGCAGCGGAAGGGCCGCTCGCCCGTGTGCAGCAGCTGATGCTGCGTGAGGTTAGAGCTGTGGCTGAAGGCGCGGCCACACTGTGCGCAGGCGAACGGCTTCTCGCCTGTGTGCACACGCTGGTGATTGGAGAGTGAGGAACCCTGGCTGAAGGCGGCACCGCAAAGGGCACAAGTATAAGGCTTCTCACCCGTGTGCATGCGCTCATGCTGAATGAGGTGTGAGTTGCGGCAGAAACGGCGGCCACACTGGGCACACGCGTAGGGCCGCCCGCCTGCGTGGATCTTGCGGTGCTGGCTGAGGTTGGAGCCGTGGCTGAAGGCCTTGCCACACTCACTGCAGCGGAAGGACTTCTCGGCTGTGTGTATGCGCTGGTGCCTCACCAGCGAGGAGCTATGGCGGAAGGCCTTGCCACAGGCCGGGCACGCGTAGGGCGTCTCACCGCTGTGGATGCGCTGGTGCTGCGTCAGGTGCGACGTCTGGCTGAAGGCCTTGCCGCACTGCGCGCATTCATACGGCCGCTCTCCGGTGTGCGTGCGCAGGTGCTTGAGCAGGTCCGAGCTCTTCACGAACACTTTGTTGCACGCCCTGCATTCGAAGGGCTTCTCCCCGGGAAGGAGGCCAGGGCCTGTGTGGAGGGCCTTGCCCAGCTGATCCCAGGCTGGGGGCTCCTGGCCAGCGGGGAGTCCATGAGGCTTGTGGCTAGCTGGACTCTTTCCTCCTTCCCCGGAGGTGAGACCAGACTCAAATTCTGGAATTTTGGGGAAAGCGCTTCCAGGTGCCTCCCGCCCATATGGCTTCTGGCCCCCACATGCCCTTAGCTGCTTGCCTGGCATGGGGCGGGTCACAAAGGCCTTCTCCCTAGGTGGGTTGTCCTCGGCCATCCTCAGTGGGGAGGTCAGCCGCAGACTGACACTGGCCTCCCCACTGCCAGGACCTAGCAGGAGCCGTTCCCAGTAGATTACAGACACCCCTGTGGGTTTTTTCTCCTGAGAGGGGGAGGTGCCCCACCAGCCGTCCAGGCTTTTCCCACGCTCACAGATGCCAGCGAAGGGGAGGATCCTCGGAGGTGCTGGAGGGGAGCCATCATGGAAGGCCCCTGGCAGTTCTGCTTCTCCTGGAACAACCCTGTCGTATGCCAGATGACGGGAACCTGAAGGCACAGAAATGGTAGACCCTGGGTCATGCTGGCCGAGAGGGGATGGCCGGGGCAGGCCTAGTGGTCAGACAAAGGGGATGCCAAGGACTGGGTGTGCGAGCTGGGGAGAAAAGCAGCAGCCAGACCAGTGTATGTCATTCACTTCTGTCTCGGGGGACTCCTCCAGCCTGCTTTTGCTCCTTGCACGGATGGCTACCTGCCGCTACAGGCTTTACTCACGAACTCTGTTTCCCTGCTGCCTCTCCCCTAGCATGGTCACCTCCATGAAAGCAGGACCAGGAGCGTCCTGGTAAAGGCTGTGCCCCGGTGCCTGGAATGGGGTCCCACGGGAGCTCCCCCTTGGTGGGCAAGCCAAGGCCAGAGCCTCCAGGAGGCGCTGATGATAGAAGGAGAACGGGAAGGAGTCAGGTGGGAGGCAGGAGATGACAGAGTCCAGGAAGGCAGGGAACGGGGGACAGAAGCCTGGCCACTGGTGGGCCCAAGCTCACACCCTCTGAGTCCCCGCTCACCAGGGCTGGGCTTCCTGTGAGCAGTCCTGGCTGGTGTTGCAGCTGTCCCACCGAGAACCCAGGGCTCCTCTCCACGCTCAAGCTGGACGACTACCCGGGGTCGTGAGGCAGAGAGTCCTGTGAGAAAAGACAAGCAAGTGAGGGGCCAGGCCCAGCACACCACAGGGCAGGACTCACAGGAAAAGTGCAATGGCCCCTGTGAGGAGAATCCCTGTGAGGAGAACCGTGTTGGCAGCAGCAGATGAAAGGGGCCCAGGCTGAACACCGAGGCACCACAGCGGCACAGGGACACCAGCCAGCTGGTGTGAGGCTGCTCATAGGCCAACAGGAGATACGGGGTTAGTGCTGGCAACAGCTGAGCTTCCCGTGGAAAACCCAGGGCCTTACCCAGCGAGGCCACAAGTGCGAAGTTCTCCAGCATCACGTGGCAGTACAAGGCCCTCTGGGCTGTGTCCAGGAGCTCCCACTCCTCGTGGGAGAAGTACACGGCCACATCCTCGAAGGCCATCAGGCCCTACAACAGTGGGCAGGGGAAGATGGACACGATCTAAGCTATGGCTCTACCACCCAGGACCCCCCTCCCTGTCCCAAAGGCTACCCTTCTCCATGTCCCTCAGAGGCTTACCTTCCTCCCCCTCACCCCGTCCTCCCCCAGGCTCTGCAACTCTGCAGAGGAAACTTCCCTCCTCTCCCCTACACCCTACCTGTCCAGGGCACAGATGCCTCCTTGGGCTCCCCACTGGCCACTCACACAAGGCAGCCAGAGCAAGCTCATGGCCTTCAGATGGCCGCCACCCCAAGGGCAGGCCCAGGTGCCCACACGTTCTGCACAAACTGACCCTCCCCAGACGTGCCCTTAACTGTTCCTGTAATGAGCAGTTGTACAAGTCCCAGCTGTGGACCCGCCAGGACCTGCCCAGGCCTGGAGGGACGCCCCCTTCTGCTGAACTTGCCTGACATCCCAAGGCTGCCCCTCCAGCATGAAGGACTGGCTGGCTGATCCCCTCCATCACTACAGGAGGGGGCCCAAGGATCTGGTGAGCACACAGGAAGCCAATTTCCTCCTCCCTCCATAACCACGCCCACCCCTCCCCCCATTTCCCTGGCCAAAACCTTCCCTTAGGCCACCTGACTTACTCCCAGAGCCCCAGGGGCTACCAGCCTGTCTTCACATCCCTGGAGTGCTACCCATCCCTGGCTGAGTCCATAAGATTCCTTCCTCCTAAATGTGATTCCCAGGCCCCGCTGGCTCAGAGTATCAGGACTGTGTCCTTGGACATCTGCAATTCCAGGTCCACGTGATACCTCCACTCCGGGACAGCACAGATTCCCTGATCTTACTCTGAAGCCTGCTTTCCCTTCAAATTCAGCAGTTCTGTTCTTCTGGGTGCTCAGGCCAAAAACCTTGGGACTGTGCTCCACTCGGGCCACTCGCTCCCACGCCGCACCTGAGACATCAGATCTCTCCAGAATCCAACCACTTTCCCCATCTCCACTGGCCCAGTCCCAGTGTGCCGCAGGTGCCGTCTTCGGCCACCCGGGCTGTGACAGCGCCCGGCCCCTGCACACGGCCACCCCCGCTCTGCGTCATTTCTCCGCCAAGCAAACCGTGGGATACTTTTAAAAACCCTAACTTAAAGCACGTCCAGTCTCTGTTCGAATCCTCCCACGGCTCCCGACACAACTCCTCAGCCTGCCATTTCTCTCCCGTGCTCACGTCCGGAAGCTCGGTTCCCGAAGCACCTAGGCTCCGTCTCCCCTCCCAGCTTTTGCACGTGCGGGACCCTCCGCTTGGAACTTCCTTCTACAGCTCACTCCCTTGGCTGCCCGAAGCGGGGATCTCACACGTGCACGCTCCACTGGCGTGAACCCCGGGGCCTAGGACGAACCGAGAGGGGAGACAAGACGTCCGGGTAAAGTCCCTCCCTGAGCCGAGATTCGGGTCCCTCCCGGAGGGATCTAGGTGGCTGGCGGGGGAGGGGGTCTTAAGCTTCCTCTCTCACCTGCGCCGGGTCCGTCAGCGCCGCGGTCGCCATCAGAACCTGTACTTGGGGACGCGCAGAAAGCGACGGATACGCGGACGTCCCGGCTCCGGGCCTCAGTCTCTCCGTCCGACTAGGGCACAGACGCCCAGGACACCGTCTCCCCTGCCGCCCGGGGGTCGGAGAGCACGTGACGCGGGGCACCGCCCCACAGCCCGCAGGGCGGCCCAGGCTACACCCGGAGAAACCGAGGCTCGGGGGGCGCGACCGTCGCTCGCGACCACGGCGTGCGCCTAGCGGCCCTCCGCTCGTGCCCTCGTCGCGGCCCCCGCCTCGGGTCTCCAAGGCTCCTGGAAGGCCGACTCGGACCCGCCGCGCTCCAGTCCCCAACACCGGTGTGGCCCCACGCCCCGCAGCAAAGTGACAGTCCCGGACGCCGGAAGTCCAGCCCCCGCAAGCCCTCATTGGCCCAATGCGCGCCGCGGACGCACGCGCGGCGCCTTCTGGGAAGCGTAGTTCCCGCCCGCTCTGCGGCCGGGTGGGCGGAGCCCTTTCCGACATCCTTGGCAACGGCCAGGCGGCTCCGCGCAGCGCGCTGGGGAACGGAGTCCCGCGGGCGCGCCCGCGCTTTCGTGGGCCGGTGCGCCTGAGGTGGGGAGTCGCCTGGCTGGGCGTCCTGCGCTCGGGGCCCTGGGACCCCGGCCTGCACCCAAGCGGCCCCGAGGCTCAACGCTGGGCTCGCAGAAGCGGAAACCGCTGACGTCCCTGGAGGCGACCCTAGCCTGGGGCTTTAAGGACAAAGCCCAGCGGGAGGGGCGGGCTCAGACGGGTGTCGCTTTGGGAGCGAGCCCGGGAATGCCGACCCCAGCTCCACCTCTGGAGGCCTGTGCTCGGGTTTGGCCTCTTTGTGGCCTGTGAAGGGTTGACGTCAGTTTTGCAGCCCCTACACCAAGAGGTGCAAGCCCCCAGCTTCAAGTTCTCTTGAGTCTGAATTGTTCTCTGAGACGTCCCTAAACCACCTGTTTTCCTTGCTAAACCGGACCGCGCACAATGTACTTTCCCAGATTGGCTTGTCTTGGGTCGTCTAGGTGTTGCTGGCACATCACGGTATCGACTCCTTCGTCCTTTTTCCCTGGGACAACCTGAGTGTCTGTCACACATAAAAGCCAAAAGAAAGGCAGTGCATCTCAATGCACTCGGACGACCGCTGGCAGAGAATAAGAGTTTCCCTTTGTTGCTCCACGGTGACGGTTTCTGGTTTTTCAGGGTCCTTAATCTTCATACATAGGTGGTACAATAATGTTACCCAGTGCATGTTACCCACTGTTTTAAGGAAATATGGAATTAATTGTGTCAAGTTCGTTCATTCTTTCTGCCTGCCTTCCTCCCTTCCTCCCTCCTTATATATGCACCTATCTCAGCCATAACTGTCCTTAGAATGTAAATCCTCGAGATGCACGAGAGCACATCAATTCTGGAATATTCGTGTGTAAATATTGCTCACTTTGAAAGAATTTAAGAAAATCTAACATTAAACTTGTGATTTAATCAAAAGTTTAGGCATTAATATTTCAAGCACTGTTTGAATGTTTGGAGACAATTTCTTAAAAACTTCTTTTTTGGGGGGGCTCCTGAGTGGCTCAGTCGTTAAGCGTCTGCCTTCGACTCAGGTCATGATCCCGGGGTCC